AGGCAGGCAGATCTCTGTGAGTTCAAATCCATCCTGGTCTAAAGAGCTAGTTCCAGGACAACTAGGGCTGCAACACAGAGATACCTTATCTTTAAAAAAAAGAAGAAGAAGAAACACCTGGGCGTTGGTGTCACACACCTTTAATCCCAGCACTGGGGAGGCAGAGGCAGGCAGATCTCTGTGAGTTCAAGGCCAACCTGTGCTCCAGAATGAGTGTCAAGATAGGCCCCGAAGTGACACATCTCCTCCAACAATGCCACACCTCATAATCCTTACTAAACATGAACTTGGGACCAGAAATGAAAACTAAACATGTATACCCCTAGTGGTACGGTACCTGTGCTCTCATGCACATAAATGCATATAAGCACTCTCAGTATCCCAGAAGATAGTGAGTTGATATATTGAAAATGAGCATGAAAAAAATGTTGCTGGGTGGTGGTGGTCCTGCCTTTAATCCTAGCACTTAGGAGGCAGAGGCTGGCAGATCTCCAAGTTCAAGGCCAGCCTGGTGTACAGAGTTAGTTCCAGGACAGACAGAACGATGCAGAGAAACCAAACAAACAAAACATGGACCAGAATTGTCTATACAGAAAATCATCCTACCCATAGCTGTGGGTGATGGAGGCAATCGAGGCATTCTGTTTTCTTACTGATCTCCAAAGATTGCTCAGCTTCCTTAAGTTATAGCAAAAATAGAAATTAATTGTGATAGATTATTTTAAAGGTGTGTGACTTTTGCTTATGCTGCATTGTTTTTAAGTGTGAAACTGTGATTCTTTGCCTGTCTAAAACACCTGATGGTCTAATAAAGAGCAGAATGGCCAATAGCAAGGCAGGGGCAGGATGGGCAGGGCTGGCAGACAGAGGAGAAATAGGAGGAGAAATGAGGAAAGAAGGAGAATGAGAGAACAAGAAGAGTATGTCAGGGGCCAGTCCCCCAGCTATCCAGCCAGCCACGAAGTAAGAAGGAAAGAAAGACATACAAAAGTAAAAGAAAATAAAAGAAAAATAAACAAGTCCAGACAGACCGATAAGATAAATGGGATATTTTAAGAAAAGAAAAACTAGCAAGAACAAGCCAAGCTAAGGCTGGACATTCATAAGAAATAATAAGACTGCCTGTGCTTTATTTGGGAGTTGGGTGGCAGGCTATTAAAAAGAGCCAAAAAAAGTAAGAAACACACACACACACACACACACACACACACACACACACACACACACACCATTATACAAC